AACAGATCTTAAAGACCTACAAGTTTGCTGCTGTGACTACAGCCCCTGCAAAAATACACTGCGTAGGTGTCAGCTCTTCAGGAATTTGGGGTTATTTATAATTTTGATGGGAAAATTGTACCTACTTAAACCACTTTGAATATTAAATCCAAAAAAGCAGCGTACCAGAACAGCCATCTCGATGTTTGCTCAGCCACGTGTACAGAGGCACAGTTCTAATGCCCTGCTCAGGCTCTGCGTGGCACTTCAATCAGCAATAGCTGGGCAAAGGGTTATCTTTAGTTCAGAACCGCATGAAGAAGTCCTCAAGTAATTGCAAGGAAACAAAGAGAATAGTAACTTCAGTAGCTATTTAAAAGGTAAAATTCTTCAGATTTTTAGTGTTGAAACATTGTTGGTTTTTAGACAGCAGGAGTGGTTGGGCTTACTCAAAATAGAATTTCAAGCCCTCTTTGACAATGGAGAACTTACTTAAATTGCTCTTCTGAGCTGTAAACATCCCGTGTTCGGCCCCAAAAGCAAAAGCTACAAGTGTGAGGGTGCATATTTACCCTTTATATTTGCCTACCTTTGTCTGCGTGAGTAGACACCAGATGAGCGCTGCAGAAAATACAGTGGGGGTGCTGAGTCTTTGAAAGATGACAGTGGCTTAGTCCAGGTAAGCCCGGGAAGAAGTGCTTTGTTCACCTATAGAAAAATAAGAAACGTAAACATTAACAGCTGCTCTTTGGTCCCATCTCTGGTAACACACACAACAGCTCTGTAAGAAGGTTCCTTTGCAGTCGCTGCCAGCCGCCGCCTCTCGGGTACCCGCAGGCGTCCGCACCCCTCTGACAGCGGTTATGAAGTCCTGAGCTGCATATCCCAACGAAGCTGTAAGTGGAGCCATTCCCACCTCCTAGAAACTCCTCCACCCTCAAGCAGATGACGTACTTGATCCCTGAACTTTCGCTCCTCTGCCAAAGCCACGCAGCTCTGAACACCTCCTGTTGTCCCTTCGGCACCATTACTAAGCAGCGAGTCAGCCCGTGACAGGCGGCTTCCCCCAGCTCGTCCTGAAGGAGTATTGTAGACTTGAGCGGGTTATTGATGTAGGCAGAAGTCAACATTACCTGTGCAATGCAGGTTTACAACGATCACTTGGATTTAATTTAGTCTTCCGAAGTAACTGGCTAGGAATTTCTTTCAAAGCACTAATTGTAACAGACAAACCACCATTGCCTCTTTTGAGTGCTTTATACAACTCCTGACCATTTTTTGAAGTCTCTGAGGACTAATACCAACACAGAAACCCCACAATTCCGTGCTAATACTTTTTTAATGACATTAAAAGGAAGATCGGCAGCTCTCCACACGAGGTGTCCTTTGGCCACTGGAAATGCAGCTGGGAGCAGATGGCTTCTGCTGCTGCAGGCCACCAGGCTCTGTTTAAATTCTTGGGGGGATCGCAGATTTGTGCCAGGCCCCTCCATTTCATCCACGCTGCCAGTGTCAGCGGAGACGCGCGGAGAGCACCGAGGCAGTCCCTGGGACAGCAGCAGACAGGGCAGAAGAGGAAAGAGGCAAGAGGAAGAATCTGGAGTCAAGTTAGCTAAGACGGGAGCAGTTGCACAGATTGCTATTCAGCACCCGACGTTTCTGTTAGAAACAGCAATTATTCAACAGTTAGAATGAGGGGAAAAAAAGAAAATTTGAGGAAGTATCTTCTGTTGAGACTGCTTTGACGTTCACAGTGCAGTAACCTGTGTGCTTTAAAAATACCGGATTGACAACGGCTTATTAGACCTTCGACAGCCAAGTTAAGCGTAGCTCAGCGGAGAGCAGCCGGGGCCGGCGGCGGCTCGGCCCTGGGCAGGGCGGGCCGCGGGGCTCACGCCCGGACCTGGCCCC